GTGGCTGGTGTGAGACTGTGCATTTAAAGTGTTTCTTCTCTGAAGCTGCTCTGCACTGCTGTATGTCATGTTAGATGCTCAGAAAATGTGGGAAATGATTACTAAGCTACTTTAGTGCTTTGTTAATGCTCGAGACATGAACAAGTACAGATCCTGCAGGGTACAGCTATGAGTTAGGTGCTAACTGCTAGGTGAGTATGTTATGTGAATGTGCTGTTCCCTGTTTGACCGTAAGTATGCAAACAAGCACAGGGTCACAGTTATATTCAATCTCCACATAAACATACAACAAAAACGGCCATATAGCCTTACTCCGAACACACCACAGATAACTTAAGCCTTTGAAGGCACAAAAATGTTTTGATTAACAGGACAGGTTTACAATATATCCTCTGTCCTTGGGGGATCTTGCTGCCAAGTTGAGGTATGATGACTGAACTTCAGGATTGATCAACCTTTTCTTAGCCACTGCTTAGGTATATACGAGAAAGACCAAATGCTTGTTTGGTTTGATTTACAGGACATGTATACAATATATCCTCTGTCCTTGGGGGATCTTGCTGCCAAGTTGAGGTACGATGACTGAACTTCAGGATTGATCAACCTTTTCTTTGCCACTGCTTATAAACGAGAAAGACCAAATGCTTGTTTGTAAACTGCGTTGAAAATTTAATGATCCACCTTCAATTCTGACATGAAGGCACAAATGAAATAGTTCCCTCTTCCTTTGGAATACACAAAGCAAAATATTTAATAAATTTTAGTGGATGGACAAGAGCAATTAGTATAGCTTAGTAGCTGGCACTGTTGATGAATTACACTGACGCTTATTCGCTTCATATTTTGTAACAAACGCGCTAAAACTGCAATATAACAGCACTATATGCTTCTTGACAAAATGCAATAGTATTAAAAATTTAGCCCTGATGGCATTCATTCTTGGTGGAAACGTAATTACAAAATATTTTGTAGTAACTATTAAATTCCGGCCGAAAACAGTGCACGATTTAAAAAAGAATCATTCCAATGGCGGTCCATTCTTGCGGTCCTGAAATCGCCACTATTTCCGGCCTCTCCAACGCAACTCGTTGTCCAGACGTAAATATGCGTTCGGACGACAATGTCAAGGCGAATCAAGAAGTTCTTCATGCGATTGCTAGTTATCTGTCGTGCTATTTTAGTATGATTGTTATTAGCAGTTGTTTTGTGAAATGTATTATCAAAATCAATGTTTATTGAACGCAGATTCAGTTTATTTTCAGATGTACCTAGGTACCCTTACACTTCACTCATCTCAAGCTGTTCAAACACCCTTGGCTTGACAAAGTCGATTAAGATGAAAGTGAAACGTTGGGTATAATTTATACTGTGTTTTCTCTGCATTATTAACATATTCATCATATATACAATATAAGGGCCACATGCTTTTTACAGGGAGATATGTCAGACAGCCCAGTAGGATGAGGCTTCGTCAAGCGTCATTTTTAGCAACGCTTTTCTTGCTTAAAATCCAGTCTGCAAAACATGGCAGGGCTTACACTTTGGCTTACACTTGACTCCCAGCTGTTGTGTCTTTGCTATGCGATGTTAAACATATAAAACATCTTACTATTCATGTATGCGCCATGACTCATGTAATCTTTTCACAGCCAAGACGCTCCTAAGGTACTGGGAATGTGGGGAGTGCAGCAGCATCAGTGCAGCACCGATGGTCGGATGCGACAGCTGCGATAAATGGTACCACTTCCGTTGTGCGGGACTGACTAAGGAGCCAGGTAAGGGCAAATGTTTTCTGTCTCAGTATTTTTGTTGCAGCTATAGTGATCAATGAAATATTTTCCGCACTGTTCAGCCAAACATGTATTTCAAACAATCTGCTTCCCAACCGAGGGCGTCGCCACAGGGGGGGGGGACGGAGGGGATCTTGTCCCCTCCACTTTTTAAAATTTTAACATTACGCCTATGGCGTTGCATGGAAGGAATCGACTTGAAATGGTCCTCGTCACCTCCAAAATGGTCAATGTCCCCTCCAGTCGTCGCACCGTGGCGTCGCCCCTGTTCCCAACTACACAAATTTAGTCAAATAATGTGCCAATATGGAATTTTCAGGTTCAGTTGAATGAAATAGGAACAATGATAATTGTAGATTACGTATACCTGCAAGAGAGGAAAACAGAATTCATTGTATTGCTTGTCCTTCACCGATACTGTTATTTTTCCATTTCTAGAAACACCGACATGGCGATGCAGGTGGTACTGCCTGGTGAGGCCGCGGTCTCCGGAATCGCCTGCAGACGAAGTCACCTGGCGTCCATCTGCACATCACTTGCAGCAGTGAGGCCTGCTGACAGCGTCTGGCAGTGTCGGCAACGTGCCAGACAGCTATCTGGAGTCCTGCTCACCGCAGGTCGCCGACAGGAGTGGCGACGCATCGTCTCCGAGGTCGCCTCAGCAGCAGTGAGACCCCACTGGCCGTCTTCTTAGGCTTCAACTAGATTGCGAACAACCTATGCTGAGACAACGCCCATGACGTGTGATCCGGTACCGCTACCGCACTGCGTGCCTGTGCCCGCCGTGAGCCGCTAGTGCATGGGTTCGACCATGGGAATATGTGTTTATGTTGCTTTTACTATTGTTTATACGTTGAAGTGACGAATTGTTTATTTTTCGCAAGCCTCCGCTGTCCGGTTGCCTGCAGCTCCATGCAACGCCAGCTGTACTGTTGTTTTAATGTTGTCTCTCCGCTCAGCTGTACTGTTGCCTCTCCGCTCATAACAACCTATGCTGAGACAACGCCCATGACGTGTGATCCGGTACCGCTACCGCACTGCGTGCCTGTGCCCGCCGTGAGCCGCTAGTGCATGGGTTCGACCATGAAAATATGTGTTTATGTTGCTTTTTATACTATTGTTTATACGTTGAAGTGACGAATTGTTTATTTTTTGCAAGCCTCCGCTGTCCGGTTGCCTGCAGCTCCATGCAACGCCAGCTGTACTGTTGTTTTAATGTTGTCTCTCCGCTCAGCTTTACTGTTGCCTCTGCGCTCATATATGACACCCTCTATATGAATGGCACTACTGATTGTCACACCCACTGTCCGTATTGTCCGTAGTGGTGTCTACGCCCATGTTAATACAGCGTGCAGAATCCATATTCTATTGAGGAGAGTTGAGCCAAGTCACCATAGGCTCGGGAAGAGAGCAACGTGGAGGCCCACTGCCCCTTCCCCGGCCCCCACTGGGGGCGCCAGCCACTCCAACTTTTGACTGGATGTCAAGAGCGTCGCCACGAGGGGAACGAGTCGCCGGCCAGCCAAGGTAGCCAACGGCGTGTGAAGGTTGCCAGACCTCGAGGAAACTGAGATGGCACCAACGGAGGTTTTGTTAAGTAGGCGACCAAAATTCGAGCGGCAGCAACCTGGGCACCTTCACAGATAGCAGTGCCGCGTATCAGGGCGCCTTCGACGTTGAGCTGGGCGTCGATCATCAGGACGCCGGGGGAATATGACCCAATATCCCCCGTAAATATGTGCCTCGGAAGGGAGACCCAACCATAAAACTGAAAGCTCGCCGTATTTTATCCGCTATTTTTCGAGCAGGTCCATAGATTTCCGTCCTCAAAAGTGCGGGGATATTCCCCAGTGTTTGAGTTGGATGGGAATATAGTGGCGTTTACAGTACACCGACAGGAGATTCCCATTGCCGGCTGTGGGAAACTACTGTCGGTGTAAACGCCATTCATATTTCCTGCGTCACCCCTGTGGGGACGCCCTTACTCCATGGTGCCGAGCTTATCAATTTGGATATCAATGGAATCAAAATCTCTTATCGATCGATGAAGAACTAAATTACCCCGACCCGGAGAGCGTCTTTGGAATCAAAGCAGTAGCACATGACGCAAGACTTCAGGCAAATAAATCCTTCTTGTCTGAAATAAAACATTTGTGTATTGATAAGCACGTTTTATAAGCAATGGTAGCAAGATTCTCCATGTATTTGGTTAAAGTGATAATTTAGTAGCAGATACTTACCGTCGCATTTCGTTTTTTTTAATTAATAATTTATATTGTCAGAACTAGCAACATGTCTCTTCACTCAACAATAATTACAAAAGTGAAAAAGAAATGATAAATTGCTTATATTTTGGTGAAACTAAAAATTAATTCAGCACATATTTTTTTTACAGCGTTGAAGTCCAGCTCCAAAGGACAGCTGACGATCGTAGCCGAGCAGGCTGTTTGGTACTTCTTCACTACTTCTTAGAAGTACCCGTTAGTACCGATCATGTCTCACATAATAAGCTATTGGAACAAAAATATCCATATTCTTCTAATTATTCTCCTTTCACACTTTAAATAAATACTTTTGAAATGCATTTACTAATTAGTTCCACAAAAAAGGCTTGAAATTTTACAACGTCAAAATACTTATTCCAATTTCCACCATGAAACCACCACTATATTACTTGCTTACAGACCCGTGCGCACAGTGCGCGCAGTTTTATCGTGACGTCAGAGGGTGCTTCCTCAGTGGCGCCCCCTGGCGGGGAACGCGTGCAAAAAGTCCAGCTCTTAGGCATGTCCGCGTTTCTCCTCGCTAAGCTAAGTATTGATTTGTATTTCGTCAGACTCGCGCAGCATTTGCAGCGATTGTAGTGAAAACAATTTGGTTGCATTTGCTTCCATATCCAGGTTCGGTAGTAGAATAACTTTATCTTCGCCCTAAAAAGCAGAGGAAAAGGCGAATGATCCCAAATATACGCACATTGATCAATGAATGTAATGGGCCAACTGCCAAGTCATACCGTTCGAACTCCGTAGGCTGCTCGGATCCAGTAACGGTCATCCCTTCCATTCAGAGTTGTCAGACAATTGCGGTTATCGTCCCTAGACCCAACTACTGATTGAGCCAAATGGCAAATTCAAGTGCCACCGATAAGACCAACCAGAGTTATGCAAATGATGTGATTACTTTTTACCTCAACTGGGTCAGGCTTAGAGGATTAAAATAATATAACTCGCCTCCAACGTGCATATATTCAGTAAACCATGCTTATGCACAGTCAAGTATGTTACGTTACCTCAGCCTCACGTCACGATTCAGTTCAAATTCCACAAACAATCGACTAGGAACATAAGTAAGCAATAGCATTTAAATTCACCCACTACCAAACACTTCGGCTACCAACAATTTATCCAGCAGTACCACATAAATAACAATAGCAAACGTAGAAGACAGCGATGGAAACTGCCTCGGTGAGGACACCCTAGCTACCAAGTCTCAAGAGTCATTCGCAATATCACTGTGTCTTTGTGTTTCAGTCAACGCCACTCATCTGTGTGTCGAGGCATCACGTTGTCAATATCACGGTGTCACGACACCACCCCGTGTCAGCGCTGCGGCCGGAACCCAGTGACGCTCTCTATCGCCCCATCCTCGTCGTACTGCGCCATGGGGCAGTACGTCTCCAGCTCCATGGCGAACGAGGCCAGTCCGGAGCTGAGCGTGCGCAGCGCCGTGTTGTAGTCGCGCAGCTCCGCCAGCGGCGCTGACGCCAGCACCAGCTTCTCGCCGTGCCAGTCGCGCACGTCCCGCACCTGAGCGCGCCGCGTGCTCAGGTCGGCTAACACGGCACTCAGCGCGTCGGCTGCTGTGGTCACATGTAGTGCCATGACGGGTTCTAACAGCCGGCAGCCGGCGGCACGGAGTACCTCGGCTGTACACCGCGCCGCTGCTGCCGTCACCACGTGTTCAGCCGTGCGCGGCGCCACATGCAGCCACGAGAGGCGCGGCTGGACGCCCACCACGGGACAGCCGAGCAGCGGCCCGTGCGCCAGCGCCGCGCGCACACCGCGCTCGGCGGCAGCCAGCAGGCGCGGTCGCAGGGTGCGTAGCTGCTCAGCACTCTCCTCTGTGGGTGCCAGGAGGAGCTGCGGCGGCGCCGGCGCGTCAGACTCCGGCTCCAAGTGCAGCTCCAGCTCCACCTCGTGGTTTGTGTCGGCGATGCGGCGCGCCAGCCGGTGGCGCAGGCGACCGGCGGCGCGCGGTGTCTCCCGGTAGGACACCTGAGGAGCACCCAGCTCCGCCTCCACACCGTGCTCACGCAGTAGCCGGTCTTTGACGATAGCTAGGTGCAACTCACCCATCCCTGAGAGCACAGTCTGTCCAGTCTCCTCGTTTTGTGTCACACGCAGACTGGGGTCCTCCAGCTGCAGGCGCTCCAGTGCTGTCTCTAACGCCTTAGCCTTAGCCAGTGAGGGCGGCTCGACGGAACAGAAGAACACAGGCTCGGGTATAGTGACGCCGAGGAGCGCCGCGCTACCGTCCGAGCCAGCCCGTCGGCGCGCCGCCGATGCCGCCGTCTGACTAGCTGCCAGTGTGTCCCCAGTGGCCGTCTCACGCAGTCCGCTCACCACAGCAATGTGCCCGGCGGTGACACGCGGCTCCTCAGTCAGCTGGTCGGCGCTGGGTGTCATCACGCGGCCTAGCCGCTCCGTCTGCGCCCGAGACACGTTATACACTCGCTGTCCGGGCTCCAACGCGCCAGAGTATACACGCACGTAGGTGAGAGCGCCACGCTGCCGGCAGTGCACCGTTTTAAAAGCGAGCGCGCAGAGTGAGTCACCATAGAGTTTAACGGCGTCGGGTAGCCGCTCGGCGGGCGCTGGCAGCAGCTCGGCAACAGCGTCCAGGAGCGGCTGCACGGCTGTGTTCCGATACGCACTTCCACATAGCGTGGGCAGCGCGGCTCGGCGCAGCGTCAGTCGGCGTAGCGCGGCGCGCACCTGGTCCCCGCTCACCTCCTCCGCAGAGGCCGCCTCTAGGTACTCGGTGGCTAGAGTATCGTCCAGCTCGGCGGCCTGCTCCACGAGCGTGGCTCGCGCGGCGGCTGCTCGCTCCCACAGCGCCCCGTCAGCGTCCTCTCGCAGTGGCCTACTGTCAAACTTCTTGCCGTCACCACCCGCGGGCCACTCGAGCCGCGTCATCGAGCCCAGCTCCACCACACCGCGGAACTGGGCGCCCTCTCCGAGCGGCAGCTGAGTGAGCAGCGGCGGCACGCCCAGCCGCTCGTGCATTGAGCGGAGACAGCCATCCAAGTCGGCCGTCCGCTTATCCATCTTGTTAACGAACACAATGACAGGCAGCTGGTAACGCGCTGACTGCCGCCATACGGTGAGCGTTTGCGCCTGAACGCCAGCGGCCGCGTCCAGCACCGCCACTGCGCCATCCAGCACGCGCAGCGAGCGTTCCACCTCCAGCGTAAAGTCGGCGTGACCGGGTGTGTCGATTAGATTGAGCCGCCGGTCTCGCCAGGGGAGCGACACGGCCGCGGCGGCCACAGTGATGCCTCGCGCCCGTTCCTGCTCGAGGAAGTCCATGGTGGCCGCGCCATCGTGCACCTCACCCATAGCTGAGATGGCGCCACTGTAGTACAGCAGACGCTCAGTAGTGGTCGTCTTGCCAGCGTCGATGTGTGCGATGATGCCGACGTTTCGGACGAGCGAGTCGTCTGCCTTCGGCGTGGCGCGGCCGCGAGCTGCTGGCTGGCCACGCCATGCCAGGTGAGCACGTCTGCGACCCAGCTGAGGCCGATATCGGCACAGCAGCGCCGCCTGGCGAGTCGCCCAGCCTGCCATCTAGTGGACAAAATGTGTATTGTTAGATCGTACGCTTACCACTAGCGATATTTTTGTGACATCCTTCAATTCCTAGCTTTCGTTCAGTGCCAGACACTATCAACCAGACAGCTGCATAACAACAGACAAGTTAAATCATGTAGATATGAAATCACAGCATACTATATAGATCTTGAGCATTTCAGCAAATTATTAAAGAGCACTTCAATTGATTCATAACTTATAGAGCAGCATTTGAAAGAATACTAGGATGACCTCTTCAATACAAATGTTTAAGATTGTGTGCAACAATAAGTACAAAACACATGAAACTGCTATAAAATTTTACAATAAGTCCTAGCCTAGACTCCTAAAATGCCTGGACTTCAGCCTTCCTGAAGAGGCAAAACACATTCAATCCTGTGGATATTTGCTTCTATTTTGGTCACTGTAGGGAGTACCTATCACAGCTGGAGAAGCTATCATTTGTTATTTGCTGCATTGAACACCAAGCTGTCTTCTGAGCATCACACTCATCACACTATAAGCATATTTTGGCACTGGCATATTTCATACCGGCAAGAGCCAAGAACAAATATTTTTGGTTGCTAGGTACCTACCTACTTTTCTTGCTGTTGTAACCTTTCAATACTGAGTTGCAGCACAATGGAGTATGGGCATTAACAAATAGCTGAAAAATGCTGAATTGTATCTTTCACCATATCATGATCACCTGATCTTGTGTACCTATAACTATTGAAAATTGAGAAGGAATTCCAGGACACAATTCATGAGTTCACAGACAAGAAATAAGTCAAAAACAGGTAAGCTAATATATGCAATCGATGATATAATACAAAAAATACTAGATTTGGTGATATTTTCATGCAATATAATTGTATGCCCAGTCATTGGCCACCGCATTGTTAAAATTCATGCATTGCAACATGAAAGGCAGGGTGGTTTTCTTAACCAAAATAGGTACGAATCATAGCAATTAGCAAAGCTGTAAGCAGGCACAGCACGTAGCCAGTAATGCTAAATGATAAATTAACCCTTTTTTAAAACTTTTATTTTCAACATTAAATAGCATTCATCAAATATGAAATAAATAAAATTTAGAATATCAAGGTGGATAATTTACTGGATTGCAGATAAAACTGCTTCAACTTCTTCAATGTTCAACTACATCAATCACCTGTAAATTGTAATATCAGGGCCCAGGGGGCAGTTGCTTCAAGTTCAGGCGATTTCCGTGCTTCACTGCAAGGACAAAGTTGAGTTATGTAAATTCACTATGAATGAGCAAACATCTGCAATAATATCGAAAAATAAAATTCCTTGCTCTCTTCTATATACGAGTACGACACGGCTTTTCCAATACCGATACTTTTCATGGGAATTTGGGTCTGCCGTCCCTTGTCGCTCTCGCGTCATGTTTGTCCTCTTTCGCACTGCCATATTACATGGAGGAAATTACTGCCATATGAAGGAATCTAGTATGAGCTTTTGCTAGTCTATTCGCTAACATTGCAGCTGCCTTGGGCTTGGTGTGTTCTAAGCTTCAGCAGACCCTAAGGGAATACAAATTTTTGCTCGCCATGTTACGAACGAATCCGGTTATTTTTAAGCCCCTAACATTATGCTGCTTTCCCAAAACTGCCCAAAACGTATCGGGCTTCCTTTTATCCCAGATTCCCTGGATTCGCCGGTCACACCGGTGTCTGCCAGTTCTTCCAAATGTTATAACTCCTTACGGTTCCCAATGCCATACCTACCCACAGTTCAAACAATAAGCAGGCGCATATCGATATCAGAATATATTTACTGACTGCAGAGTGCAACTGCAGACTGACCGTCATCAGTGATCGGACAAACACAGTTTGGGGATGGTGAGAAGTCGCCACAAGTCTGTTTCCATCCCTTCGAATTTACTCGGTAGTCGGTCACGTCATTTTTAGTTTCTATCTCAATGCTACCTGTTGAGTAACAGATAGGATAAGTCAGATAAGTGAACAAAATAAGTGAGCAGAGCGTGGGTCATGCGACCCACGACCTCGGACTGGGCACCAAGCCACGGCTATAGTGTCAAGAAATGATCCCTGAAAGCCCCTCGCTTGGGCACTAGGGCTATAGAGGCATCTGGAGACTGGAGGTGCATTGCAATGGTAAAGCAAAGACTCAGGACAAATATGAAATGAGACACGTGACAACCACGCAAGTGGCACGTGGTACGGACGTGGCACCCACACAGCCTGGGCACTCTCATTTCTCGATTGAAACCGTTACTTGTTTTTATAAACACGACATAACCCCCAAATAGCCGGACCGAATCTGGGCACACGGTTGTTAGGTATAGCCCCGAACATCAGCCCGTCACGCGATTCTTATTGCACACGAAAATAAACTGGGATACCCATAATCAAGAAAGGTCACGCGGAAACCGCAACGCAAATAAAAACTGTGACGTCGAAATCTGAGGGTGATACAGCGCATCATAGATCGGTGCAATGTAAACCATGTGCAAAGACGCTTAAAAAGGGCTGCTTCGCCCGTCCGTCCGTCCGTCCGTCCGTCCGTCCGTCCGTCCGTCCGTCCGTCCGTCCGTCCGTCCGTCCGTCCGTCCGTCCGTCCGTCTGTCCGTCCGTCCGTCCGTCCGTCCGCCCATCCGTCTGTCCATTCGTCCGTACGTCCGTCCATTCGTGTGTTGACATTGTACCCCAGTACGGGCCCCCCGTCGGTTGCTCCTGGTGTGAAAGGCCCGACGAATCTCCGTAGCGAAGAAAGAGTACCTCTTCCCGTTCGGTTCACTGGTCGCTCGACGGACTGTATTCGCAGTGCCAGCGTTCTGACGAAGCTCTGGACTTGCTCCTTATCACCAGACGCATCGCTGGATATAAACTAGCCGTCATATTGGAAATATTCCAAGTTAACATAACACAGGAGATGCCATAACGAGAATGGGTGTACACCGAACCAAAGCAGTAAATAATACTGATTTTAAAACAAGACACCGGTTACACGAACTGTTAAATGTTCAATGTTCATGGCTATTGGCTACACTGAATCACTTGCCGACTCCGTGCAGGAATGTTGTATTAGACTGTCGTGTTACATTTAATGAATCAGCTATTGAGGGGGCGGAACATTTATTTTTCGTCTATGCTCTCGCTGGGCCAGTAGCTTCTTATCGGCAATCAGCAAGCAGACCGCGGTAAATCATTGATATGCATCACATAATACCTTCCATCTTTGAAGGGCTTTAACATACCGTAAAATGGGGTGTTAAGGGACAGTGGGGTGTTAAGGGACAGTTGCATGGGAAAAACTTTGAGTCATATTAACTTCCTTATTTGAGAAGGTTCAATAAAAACTTCAGTGTGGTAGTTGACACTGTTTTGCTCTTAACCATAGGACAAAATGGTATGGTTTTTCATGCAAGTGATTTGGTTCAAAAATGGATTTGAAAATCATGCTACATTTTCACAAAATTGAAACATCTCCAAAACTCTGTGTGTACCACATAAACTAGTGGGTGTACAGGGAAAATGAATGCATAGGTGTATTGTCACATGTATTACACATGTTTCCTGAAAAACTTGTGCAAATCCACCCATTCATTCATCATCCTCTTCCTCTTTTCTGGATACATGCATATTTTGTGGTGGATAGGGACAGAGAAGAAAAAATAAAAAATAATATATAAATATAATTTCATTAAGTTTTCTTTCAGTAGGCATGGAAAACACCAAATTCCACATAAAATGCTGGCAAGTTCATGCTTTTATCTCTAACATATCATAAGTTATGTAACAAAACATCTCACACTCTCTTTTACAATGATGGGTCAATGGAGACTGATGAAGGTAAATGTGATGTCATCATAAAAAGTCTAAAACAAAGAGGGCAACATAATGACAAGTGACTAGCTTCAACATGGGTTTTTATTGATGACAAAAGATTACTTTTTGGTTCTGTTTACCTTATAATTAGCACATTTTCCACAAGCGTAAACTGCATTACACGTAATTGGATAAAAAGGTCATTAGTGGTGAATGAACCTGACATGTTTTGTGACAGAATATGCAAAACATTTCAATAAATAAATTGTGTGCCCTTCCACACCCTAATTGTGGGCATTTGATGACCATTTCTTGGAATAATATAGGTGTCCCTTAAAACCCCACATTGGGGTGCTAAGGGACAGTGATGAAAAGTAATAAAAAATAATATGCAGGTATACATCTTAAAAACTTTAATGTGGCAGGCATGTAAAGCACCAAATTCCACATAAAATGCTGACAATTTGATGCTTCTATCTCCAACCCTTCTTGAGTTATATAACAAAACACCTCAAAACTGTCCCTTAACACCCCGTTTTACGGTAATTAACTTTAATATTAACGTTAAAGGCTTCAGTTTTCTCTTCATAATTGTTTTGCTTCATAAATCGCAGACTCTCGCCTTAGGGACACAGATCATTATAACTATTCTCGATTCTCGTCGAACAATTACAGAGGCGCGGAAAATATATAATACGATTATGCATTGGTGACAGATGACGCTTCACTGGCTATACGCCAGACCACAGTGCCCTCACAGGTCCACGAGGCCAGCCGGCTTCCTGAGTTGCGTCTGTGGCTCGGCGACGCTTACGGTGAGCGAGCTTCGAGCGAGCTCACCAGCGGTGAAGTTGAGCGTCTCAGGGTGCCGCTGGTCCAACTCACAGCGCTGAGCGGAACACAGCGGACGACACGATAAAACAGACCATTCAGCCCACTACCGCCCAGTCTACAGCGAACCGTTTAGCCCACTACGAGTATAGAGGGCCGATCAACTCGCATCAGAAGACAGCTTAACAGACTATAAAAGGCATGGCAGTCATCTATACGAGACCGCTAAATTCTCTTGATCAATAGGAACTACTCTACAAATCTCAAGAAAGTGTGCAGTATGAAAGTGCAAAAGTGTGCCCATCCAGACAACGAGAGAAAGGCTACAAAAGCGCCACGAACGGGCGAGGCGGCGCTGCTACAGTCCTGCGCTGGTCCGCCGGCGATTCGGCGTCCCTGTGAGCTGTCCCTCTGTGGTCTATGGCCGTGCCGGGCCGCCGCCAGGTTCGCAATGATTTTAGCAGCCAGGCGACCAGCCGCTGCACAGTCCGACCTCAGGAGCCGGCCCCCAGCGGGGCACTGATCGGCATCAGCTGGTCGGTGGCTGGCCGCTCCTCGGACGCCCCACCCTCGCCCCGGTCTCGAGCAACGTGAGCTGCGATTGCCAACGCGCCGCCCTGGATGAAGCGGACAAAGTTGTCACCCACCAGCGGCCCCATGGCGTACAAGCCAGGAGCGTTCTCGGACTCGTGTGTGAACGCATCCACGGGCAGAAGTCGCGCGCGGCCGTCGGCGGTGGCGCCGGCGCTGTCACCGAGCACTGTTTGGTCGTCCACAAACTGAAGGCCGGGCTGAGCGCCGATCATGACGGCCACATGACTGACGCGCACCTGGGCTGGCCCGTCGCCAGTGGCCAGGGTTACCAGGCCGTCCGGGTCAATGCGGAGAACTCGCGCCTGCGCCAGCGCCCGGTAGTGGCAGCAGCTGCGACCTCCGTCCCTCATCATCTGGTGAACCTGGTGATACTCGGGGTAGAGCGCGCGCGGCAGCCGGTAGAAGATGAGCGCCCGGTCGGTGGCTCGCCGCCGGAACGCGTGCACTACGGGCACACCACGCCGGCACGCCGCCAGGATGACGTCGGCGGCGCTGAGGCCGGCGCCGATGACGAGCAGCGTTCCGGTGACCCCGCCGGACGCGAGCAGCGCCTCCATCGTGCTGAGAGTGTGACAGACGAACGGCAGCGCCTCGCCCGGACAGCCTAGCCTCGACGGCACGTCGGAGGTACCGCACGCCAACACCACGCGCCGCGCTGCCACGCGGAACCGTTCCAGTTGATCGTCTGCGCCGGCGCGGAGTCCTTCGACGATCCAGAGCGGCGCGGCGGCGGCCGGCGGTCGGCCGATCGGCTGTCCGGAGCCGGGAACCACGGTAAGGCGGCTGTCCTCGGGTGATGAGCCGAGACGTCGCACAGAAGTCACCAGCGTGGAGTCGCGGAAATGGTCTGACAGCTGCCGACACAGGAAGGTTAGAGCGTCAGACTGGGAGAGACTGAATGTGCCTACAATAACTGTTGCAAAGATGCAGACACAGGCGACGCAGTATACATACAGTCACAGGCGGGGTGCAAGGTCAGACTGAGAGAGACTGTGTATGACGGCTGCCGCCTGCCGATACAGCGGTCAGATTGGGGACGGGGTTTGCCGTTCGACTGCAGTTGTATACGATCAGGCGAGGCTTCAGATGGGGGACGGAATAGTTTGACAGCTTATGACACAAAAGCGGTTTCAAACTAAAGGACAGCGGAGCACTAAAACATGAAGCTAATTACACGAACGCATCGCTAGACTCAAAGGAGCCAAAAATAACTATAGCCGTTACAGCGAAGGTACAACGCCGGAGTCCGGACTCGTCGTGACGAGAGGCACATCTTCCGCCTCGACGTTTACGACACAGCGTAAGACTATACGATGTGTGATTTAATACTGCTCCGCGGTACGACACTGGAACACGGCCCACTCACCCCCATCGTCTGCACGTAGGCAGCGTAGTAGCGAGCCACGTCGGTGACACGCGCCCGGGACCGGTCATTGTCCAGACACCACTGCTGGAAGCCCAGGCCGGGCAGCTCCATCCAGCTGCCCAGGCTGACCGTCAATAGGTCGCCGGTCATCTTCTGTAAGGTCAGAGGGCAGAGGTCGGTGATGTCATACTCTATTCTGTCAGCCGGTCATTGGTCATCATCTGACGGGTCAAAGGTTAGAGGTCAGTAGGTCACCGGCCATTCATTATGTTGAATCAGATGTGAGAGGTCAGTAAGGTCACACTCTGTTCTCTTTGCAGGTCACCGGTTATCTATCGTCGGGGCTCGGGCTAGAGGTCATCAGGGTCGCACACTTGTCAGCTGGTCATCATCATCTTCTGTGAGGTCAGAGGTCAGGAGGTCACACTATCAGTATCATATTGGCAGGACACAGGTGATCTTCTGTCAGAAATCCGAGGTCAGTGAGGCTGCGTATTATCAAATCAGCAGTCAAGATTATATTGTCTCGGGTCATCGGGGTCAGAGGTCAGTAGGGTCACACATTGTTTTGACAGGTCACCGGTCATATTCTGTTGGGTCTGAGGTCAGGTAAGTGGGGTCAGACACTATCCTATCATCACTATCCCTAGCTCCTCTCCGAGAGACGTAGTACCCCGTCCTTCAGCGGACTCCGACCACTGTATCCTTTCTTGGGCCGTGAATTCTACCTTTGGTCACCAGCCACTTCTGTTTTCCGTCAGCAGCGAATTGTTTGACAGGCCCGACCCAGGCCGCTACAGGCGGTCTGAGCTGCCCGCTATACCACGGCCAGAAACTGAGTTGGCATAGCTACAGCTGCTGATGAGAGATATTCGGAACAGCATACTCAGCTTGGACCAAGGGACCCTCAATTATGTACCATCCATGTCAATTAACCCTCGCCCCGTTGGGGGGGGGGCCATTTTGGCCCCCCCCTGTGGTTTTTCCTAAATAGCAAGAAAACGGCGGCGCGCAGCGCCGCCAAATTTGCAGTACCTTCCCGGGCATCAATTTGACACCTTCACACCAAATTTCAAGTCTTAGGTCACCTTAGGTCAGGAGTTATTGAGGTCAAACTGAGGTCATGTTCGAGCAAAAATGAGCAAAAAACATGCAATCTTGAAACGCTCACCAAATCTACAGTTATCAAGCAATTTCAAAGTTCTTTATATGGTCTAGTAGATAAAAAGCGGCGCTACAAAACTGCTATCTCGGATTTTCAAAATTTTTGGTTTTTGACCAAAAAAATTCAAAAAATTGATTTTTTTAGAAAAACTTTGAAAAAATCCAAAATTTTTCCGAATTTCGAAAAAACCGGAATATATGTGATAGTCCCAGCGCTCTTCTATATACATACCAAATTTCAGATCGATATCTCGTTTTTTGGCCAAGTTATAGCGAAAAAACTGTTCAAAAATGATGACGTCAAATTTTTGAACTCAATTTTTAGCAATTCTAGACCACGTACGGCAAAACAAAGACCACCATTGAACTCCCCGTGACGAGCTGCATCGATTCGATACCCATTTTATGCAAAAATATTAACTTTGAAATTTGACCTAATTTGACCTGACCTTGACCTGACCTTGACCTGACCTTGACCAAAACGTGATCTAAGCTGGCCCCAAAGGCTGCCTGACCCATATAATCGCATTTGTCAAGTAAAATGGACCATAAAACATGTATCACACGACACTTTCATATTGTGACCCCCCCGTGACCTGACCTCTGTGACCTGACCTGGTATCAGTGACCTCAAATAGCAAAATATGTGTTTGAAGAACATTTCCCCATCGATGATTTTCAATGAAATGCATTTTACTTGATTTTACAACGCATTTCTTGAAGTGCCTGTAAACGGTGAAAATTGGACCTTTGACCTGACCTGTGACGTCATCGGTTTGACCTAGGTCAATAAAATTGGGTCACAAGGTAGTTCCCCGTTGGGGCTATCCAACGCCGTTTACCGCTTGTCGCTATGTTGCGTGGTTCTCGAGATCTTAGGGGGGGGCCAAAATGGCCCCCCCCCCCCAACCGGGCGCGTTGCTCGGCAGAGCCCAACGGGGCGCGGGTTAAAAAATTGCTAGAATGCGAGAAAGCGGTTGCTTTATCCTGGATGTGGATTGAAATCTTTAGATTGAAGCCAACACGTTCCGAGCATTACAAAAAAAAGTTCGGGGGCTCCTCCCGGCCGGAAATGTTCTGCCTTCTGTAAAAAGCAGCTCAGGTCTCTCCACGTGTCCTCCCCTCACCCGTCCAACTGACCTGCCAGACGCCTCCTGGCGGCCCCCTGACTTGTGAGGTCTCCCTCCCCCGTCAAATTGGTCTCCCTGACCTGTGAGGCCTCCTTCCACCTCCACCCCCCACCGAACTGACCTGCCAGACGCCTCCTGGCGGCCCCCTGATGACCTATCCGACCCTGGCACTCTCCTTTCCAAACTGACCTGCCAGACGCCTCCTGGCGGCCCCCTGCCGAGCACCAGGTGGTCGACGGCCCTCTCCGGCCGATACACCCAGCGGATGGTGGAGTGCTCGTCGGCGCCAAAGTCGGCTCCCGGGTGGTTCAGCGTGTCAAACAGCACCGACACGGGGTTGTTGGAGCGACCTTCCAGACCCTGTTGGGGAGAGACAGCCAGTCAGTGCAGTGCAGTGCAGTGCAGTGCAGTCAGTCGTCGGCCAAGCTGGAAGGTGGCTTGCAGTTCCTTTTGGCATATGTAGATAAGGATGCAGAAAATGAAGGGACGTCGGGGAAGCGAGCTTCTCCGGGATTCGTCCCGAACATTGTGATGGATTTGTACACGGGAATCCATGTTTTGCAAACAACTCACATACTGACGTTAGACGTAGTTCTCGACATACCGCTCAGAAGGGTGCATCACTATTGGCAGTCCTGTTTTCTGTCACCAATATATGCACACATGTGCTATTCACTATTCAGTCCAGGACATGACAATCAGCAGGGGGCCAGTGGTGTCCTTGTTGATCGTCCTTGGAGCCGAACTATACGGCAGTTCTGATGCCATATACAAGTAAAGTTTACAAGTTTGTGGATCTAACAGCGGGTCACGGACCCAAATGGCGGCCGATCAGATGTCATAAATGTCCGATACGTGATCAGGGGGGGGGGGGGGCGCCGGCGGGTCTGGCCGTGTTGACCGTGTAGCGAGGGCGATACCCAATGAGCAGCGACAGGGCAATCAATGCCCCCCAGACCGATAAATCATCATAGGGCCGGACATTTGGGGAGGGGTCGGCGCACCGGGCTAACACACCGGGTCAGCACAACGGGTCAGCACGAGTCAGTGCCCGGTCAGTTGGTCAGGACCTGTCGTGCAGCATGTTTCCCTGACAGACAGCAACACCCGTCAGTAGCGCTATAGCACCGGCAGCAATTACCGTGTAAGCGGCACACAGTTCCATGTATCGCCTGGATTACATGTTGGAAGATCTATATTTGATGTGGCCAGAAGCCAGGCCGCGACAAATTACTCGAAATCGTATCAGCACACGGTAGGTGAACTTCTATTGAAGATGTAAGACTAACATGTAGACATATATCGTACGTGCTATTACGATAAATGATAAAACAGCCGACGATGTCTCGGTCTGTTCGGTTGGGTTGGAGACAGCGCTTGTAGCTATCGATTGACCCCCGCCCTGACCCACCTCTGGGTCGATCTGTTTTGGGGGTAAATATAGGACCTGTCCCTACCGAGCGGCCCCGACAATGGCTTCACAACGGTTGCACCACGGAGCGTCGTGCTGAGACGGGGGCGTCGCGGGGCACGCCACCGATACATGTCAGGGTACGCTCAAAGGTCACACACAACCAAAGAAACGTAAATGCATTCGGCCGTGGGTCACGCGACCATTATTTTGTCGTCATCGGTCACTTCCATGACACCTGAGTGAATTTCCGCCGAGGAGTACCTAGTGGCGGTAACCTATGTATTACGAATGGATCTTTTGAACTTTTGTGGTTTGATATAGGCATCGTTTTCGAAAGAAATGGTGGTTTCAAGAATGTGAAATTAAACGGCGAAGTCAATTTTATTTAAGTACCTATACCTATGTAGGTATGCGTGGGCATTTCATGTAAGGCTATATGTTAGGCTGTTGATCAGATACGAGATAGCAGATGGAAACAACAAATGATCATCTTTATATATCGTATATATCTTTTCGCTAGCGCATGAATGACATATCCACGGTGACATGCACTCTGCTATCGCTGTCCGCCCTTGGAGCTGTTGTCGGTTAAATAATACCACACCGTTGCGGGTGTAAACATATGATCAAAGCCGGTAGCTGGCTGCTAGCTCATCTCGTTGTGTGTCACCGTGACAAAGCTCAGACTCGGTGTGTTTTGCGCGGTGCAGCAGCACTGACGGGCGGGCGGGTCGGATGACCGGGAGCGGTGCCAACCGCCTCAGCGTCATAGTGACTGGCGGTTACTGTCGTAAAACGAAGACCCAGCAACCCGATGCGATAATCAAGCATTTATCATAAGAGCTTGCCAGTAAGAATGATAATCAAAAGGTCATGGCTCACATTTGTCACGCTTCATCCAAACAGCTGAATTCCGCTACTAATTCATAAGTTTACGCTGAGGTGAGCCGGCAATATGATCATGACGACTGAATGCGACAAGACGGTTAAATACTCAGTGAATTATCCAGTAGTTATACAAGTGACCCATGCGCTACCATGCACGAAGGGAAGAATACCCAATCAATGATGAGCCATATGATATTACTATGATGTTACAGGTCACCAGTCTGTAAAGATACCCAACCCACCTCTGAGAGGTACTCGAGGTCCTGTTCCAAGATGGAGACGGTCGGATGCGCAGACAGCTTCCTGTGCAGATGGTCTGGTATGACGCCATCAGAGGCAGCCCCAGCCCGCGCATAGTAGGGCCAATTTCCGGCCAGCAGGTACGACAGAGTGATGGCCGACGGCCCGTTACCTGTCGAACGGGGGGGGGGGGGCGGTGAGTCGACCGTCATCCAGGACCGGGGAAGGGGGGGGGGGGCTCGGTTGTCCGACGCGTCGCTGGAGCACATTGTAATAATTTAGCAATGCGTTATGGATCGATCCGATTTGTCAATAACCCTACGCCATCTGATAAATCAATGGTTAATCAGTCCTCCAAGTGACCTTCAGAGGCAGCCGTGTGTGAGCCAGTGTGTGTATCTTTAACGCCTTATATCCTAATACGGTACAATTTTACCAGCGCCACAATCTGTTATTCTTTATAATGTTTCGTAAACTTACCAGTGGGCAAAAGATTCAAGAACGTTCCTCTCCACCATGCACGGTTTTCAAACCACGGGGACTTACCAACAATAACGACTTCATGGAACTGTGCCTGAAGGTCATCCGGCTCTGAGCTGGTGTGCATAGCTGCAGCCGCCCGTCAGGTCAGGTCAGGTCAGGTCAGGTCAGAATGATCGAGTAGGACTCAAAACGGGAGAAATGGAACGAAGTATAGATGAGGTCAGATAGGTAGAAGAAAAGTAGAATGTTTTTGATCAGCTGAGGTCGATGGAGGACCGGTGAGGTCAGCTGAGGTCAGCTGAGGTCGGTGGAGGTCGGTGGAGGCCGCTGGAGTGGGAATATGGGCCCCTGTCAGACGGGCGGCCCGCCCAGCCGACACGCGCGGTCACTCAGCCCGTGGATGTCATGGTGGCCGCACCAGTCACCACCGCGACCGTACGACCTGTAAACAGAGTCTCCAGTCACCAACAGCCACCACCAAGTCACCACCAGTCACCACCAGTCACCACCGCGACCGTACGACCTGTAAAAAGAGTCTCCAGTCACCAACAGCCACCACCAGTCACCATCAAGTCACCACCGTCCACCAGTCACCACCAGTCACCCCGCACGACCTGTGAATACAGTCTCCAAGTCACCAGCCTGTATAAACCAGCCTGTATATAACGGAGCACTCATTTGTCTCAATGGGGTCCCACACTGGCGACAGCAAACGACAAAGACGTCAGCAGCATATCATACGAGTAATCGCCGACAACCTACCGTCGGTAATTACGATGTCTGTAGGAATCAGGGTTGGGGACGTATGCCCAGAATATGAAAAAATGCGTCGCATTATCTATGTATGCTCAGTTCCTGTACAAACATATCAAAGCAGAAACGACGATAGTGTTACATATATTAGATTAAATGCCGCTCGTTCTTAGGTAACCGACTTTGCTTAAAAAATGTTTCATAGCTCAATATTTATAGCTGGGTTTGCGTAGTTATTGTTCTTTGTTTACCAGAGAAATTATATCAAGGATTACATATATCTTTCGCTAAAGAAGCAAATTGGTTCAAAATCAAATGTTAAACACACAATTACGCCAAGTGGTGACCTGTGCTGTCTGCATAGTCGAAGAACAAAAATCCTGTTGGTGATAAATAATTTGCTAAAATAATACAGTAACAACACGGCATTAGAGTCGGAACCGCTGTAACACACCTTTCAGCGGACAAGACGGGTGAAGGCTAAAGACGTCGATCTCCCTCTGCTCCGTTCAGTTCCAACGCACAGGCGAGACGGCACGATACTGGTAGCGTAGCCCCCGCCCGCCCGTCTCCATATACGTTTCACAGACACACAGACACACAGACACACACAGTTGGGCGCACAACAGTCGGGCAGCTGGCCGGCCGCCGCGCAGTGGCGACTCGAGGGTCGGCCGGACCCTGGCGAGTACCCCGACCGTCCGTCTGACATCGGCTCCGTTCAACTGACCTCACCCTGCACACAGACCCGGCTCGGTATCGCGGGAGAGGGGTGTGAAAGTGGTCCCCTCCTCGCCGTAACCGCCTGGCGGCGCACACTGGGCCGGGGGCCCGGAAAAGTGCTAGAAATTATTTGTGATTGAGTTGTTGATCTCAGCGACAAGCAAACATGCTAAAAACGAAGTAGGGCTGCTTAACCCTCGCCGGACCTATTGTCGGACCCCCCACCCCCTCGGCCGGCCGAGGGGGAGGGTTGGTACGACCCCTTTTCGCCGTTTCGCCCCTAATGGAGCTAGAGCCTCGCGGAAAAAACAAGCGTGTGCGCCGTTTCAAGACGGAACGATTGATACCCGATTTTAAGGTCCCATGTCAACCGGTAACCTCTGAGGTGAAGTCAAAAAGCCCAAGGTAGGGTTTGGTTTTTGGTAAATAATTTCGCATAAAATGGCCGCAGAGCAGCGATTTTGGCACCATCGTGTTTGCCTGGCTCAGGCGCGTCGAATGGTATACTTTATGTTCGGGTGAGGTCAACTTAAGGTGTTGACCTTGAGTCAAGGTCAGGTCAGAGCCCATCAGGCCACGAACTTAATCGAATGAGGTCGTATTGCATATCATTCGATTCAGGAGGCCTTCCCGAGTCCATTGGTGGCTTTCCCGAGTCGCTGGCTCAATTTGATCATGAGTTATTGACAAGAAACTCCTATGACCGTAGTGACGTCATAAATGACGTCACGGAAGGTCAAAAATGCAAAAGTAAAGCATCGGATCTTGCAAGGAGCGCATGAAATTCACGATTCCGTGTGCTTGAGATAGTTTGAGATCATTCCATGCGCAAAAACAACAGTTTCCTTATCTCCCCATTTACTTTTAATGGTGATGTCACGTGACCTCGAAGAGTAGGTCACGTGCAAAAATTGCGTCATCAGTAGGTCATCAGCAAAAATTGCGAGTAGGGCATGACAGAAAGATGATTAGTGGTTTGTATGGCACGGTCATTTTTAGCGGCTCGAAATAACATTTCTCAAAAAGTCTAACTTAAGAGCAAGTTGTTGTTGATTATCACTTACTTGTGTTTGGGGGTTAATAATGACTGAATTTTTAGTTTGGCCCAAAAATTTTGACAGCATTGTGTGCGTTGATCAATTCTGAGCTCAGGGACATATAATTTATTCAGATTATAAGCGTTAGTTTTTCACAACTTCCAGCGCTATAAAGAGCGCCGGGCATTCAGTAGAGCGGCGAGGTGACAATTGCCCCTACATCATGTGGTTTACTGGCGCATATCTCGAAAAGTAGCAGGGAAAAGCAGCAAAGCACTTATATGGAACGAAAGATGAGTAATCAGCGGCTAGTATAAGATGTTTATTTTTAGCCGCTCGAAATAACGTTTTTATATAAGTCTATTTAAAAATTTAGATATGATTTTTATTTAGGTCTTGCAGCTGCTTGCAAAAAGCTAGCTTATCTTGCAGAAAAGCGATGCAATATGTAAGAATGTTGTTGGTACAGTGAACAACAGTGCCCTGAACTAGTCTGACAGAAAAATGCGTTCAAAACGACAACTGGTCAACTAATAAATATCAACTAAAGATTAGCATTAAAATCGGCAAATGTGGTGGCCACTAGCGAGTCTAAATAGTCTTGTGTTTGGTGACAACTGACCACCTCAATTTCGACCTTAGGGCAAAAATGGCATCGGAATCGTATTCTTCGATCAATTTGGGATTAAATGATACCTATTTTGTTCCTATTGCGGACAGTCAGTTTGGGGGAATTTCTAGCGCTTTTTCGGGCTGCCGGCCTACAGTGCGGCGCCCCTCTGAGCTGATTGTGCCGAGTCACCGCGCCCCCGCCAGCCAGCGCAGACCTTGGGAGTACCCTTGGCCGCGCCCGGAACTGGACAGGGGGCGGGGCTGATACACGGGGCGGGGTGAGTGAGAGGTGGCCCCCGCCCCCGCCAGAGAACAAACACACAGACAGGCGCCCGGCGACGGTCACCACGATTGAAACTTCCAAAGCATAATCGTGCATCTTTTTCACGTTTCACGCCTTTTTATTATGTGTTACCTTATACGATAGTACAAAAACACGCTAAAACGATGTCTTTGACTTTTATTGAATACAAATGCATAAATCCTGATATTGAAAGCCCCTTCAACTCACGCTGAGCCTAAGTGTCCGGCCTGTATACCTATCTCCGTATCCCATGACCCGACGAGCGAGCCACGCGCGTCCTCACAAGGTTACTCAAGGCCAAACATTTTATCTATCTGCGGGCGACGCAGTGTCACGCTGTCCTGACATGGCCCGCTCTGTCGAAATGAACCCTGGAAACGCACTGTTGAATGTCGTTAGTGGTATAGCTGCCTACTCCGCTTTAAAGGTAGTGTGCCAGCTTTCTTGGACCGTATGGAGTTAATGGCCCAGATAAGGAGAACCGGATTTTTAGAACTTATCCATACCTTCAAAACTCATGGAAACGTCTTAAATTCTTCAAATTTTGAGTACCCCAGTGCGAAATTCGCCCCGACGGGTTGTCGGTCGTACCCCAACCACATTTCACACCACTATGAACAATAAATGCACACACTGAAATCGCTATTACCGATATGCTCATCCAATCAAGTTTCGATAAACCCGTTCATCTTCATCTCCTGCGGTTTCGAACACGCCTGCTAGGTGGCTTCTGATGCTCGTCGAGGTCGGAATTTCCAAATACGCGTGGTGCGTCGGGCCGCGCGCTCTGACTTCGGCCAAGAAAAATGCGTCAGCTGATCATTGTCATTTCTGCCACTTGCGTGTGGTGAAATGGGGTCATAACTTATAAGACGGCTTTTTCATATCAATTATTTTACATAAAATCATATTTCAAACCATAAATAATGTTCGACAGCCAAATAAAAGAAACAATACCAATACGGGCTTACAGTTTAAGGCTCGACATTGTGTTGTCTACGATTAGACAGCTGATAACTCATTCCCGTACATCGTATGGTCGTAACACTATAATGACCTTTGCTTATTGTCACAAGTGCGCCGCATTCGCGATTGTTGCCCGACGCCTGTTTGCAGGTGAGCCCACTACAGTTGTTATACATATCTAAAAACCGAAATTTTTTTAGGCGAAAAAGGCACTATTCCAGGCCCATTTTTGATTTTTTTTGCGATATTAGGTAAAAACAGAAGCTTCTTATCCTAGGAAAAATAAAATGGGAAATCTTTCAAAGGTGGCACACTACCTTTAAGGCATCGTGCGTAATAAACAGGCGACACGTTATAAACGTTATGATGCCATCTGTATTAATCGCAAACAGATGTATAATCCTTGTGTATGATATCAAAAAAGCAATAAAGGCGCTTTATTCAAACAATTCGTATACAACAATTCGTTTACATTCATACTTCCAGGCAGAAGAGCCTAAAAATGTGACAAACAAGTCTGGTTTGTTTTAAGCCCTGGCCAGGCGCCTGTTGTGGGTAGAAGCCGAATACCGCGTAGGTACTTAACCCGCGCCCCACTGGGGTCTGCGTATAACACGCCCTACTGGGGGGGGGGGCTATTCATAGCCCCCCCCCCTCCTAACTCCGAAACTACTGGGCCGATCGTCAAAATTCAAACGGCGTCTGATAGCCCCGGAAAAACTGTCGAGCGAAACCTAATTTTATTGACCTCGAGGTCACTGATGACGTCACAGGTCAGGTCAAAGTAAAAATTATTAGCATTTTGGCTTCTTCACGTTTGGGGCTCTGGCCGCCGTCTTACAAGTCAGATCAGGCTCATTATTGGTTCACACACTCGTGAACAGATGCTCTAGATACTCTGAGGGTACCAAACTTGTACTTTGATTTTCAGGTCAAGGTCAGGTCATCACAGGTCACGAAAATATTATATCATCCGTCGGTCACGTGACACATGTTTTATGGTCCATATAGGCCAAACATTTCGAATTTGATGTCGTCTGTGTCATG